TTTTCAGAGAAGTAGTCAATATGTGAGTGTAAGAAATTAACTTTGAAGCTCATATTACAACCCAACTCTTTGAATTTATCGAGCATGTTATTACAATATTTTCGTAATTTGGGTCCTTGTTGTTTCTTAAATATTTGTCAATAACATCTTTAAAGGCAATCCACGCTTCTTTTTCAACTTTCCTCATTGTCCTTTCGAACTGTTCATCTGAAGTCAATTTCCTAGTCTGAGGCCCAACAAGAATCCTTTCTCTAAGTTTCGCTTCTGAAAGAGCTGAGAATTGTTCACATAGATACTAGAAACAGTCGCCATCTTTGTCTAAGACTTTTACAAACTGCTTCATCAAGCCCAGTTTCATGTGAAGTGGAGGTAATAAGACTTTCTTTGTGTGAACCAAACTTTCACGTTCAACGTTTTTCGATCATAGTATCAGGCTGATTCTGTGTGGCCATTGTTCTTTATCCAGTGCTGATTTCGTGCTCTACTTTCCAATTCACACACACACACAAACATGGAAACTTCACTTTCCCATTCACACAAAAAACACGGAAACTTTGTATAACTGGATTGTTGACCCAATAAAATACAAAGAACTTTTAACTCTTCACAAAGTAGCCAACCATGTACTTTGTACTTGACCTTATTAAGAATAAGTTCGAGACTTTCGTACATTTCCTTCAAGTAAACCTGAAGGAAACCGAATGAGGAAGAGAAACAGATGCATATATGTTATCATTGTGATGGAGAACACCTTTTAGACTTCTTTTGGAGGAATCAATGAACAATCGCCACTCACTTGATTCATAGACTGCAGCTCCTAACATTGGTATTAATTCAGCAATGTTGTTGTAATAAACCAGTGAATATTCTTGCGAAACTTATGGTATAAACTCTTTCTCACGATTTTTGTAACAGTAAAATGATGTCCCTGGAGAAAGTAAGTTCTTAGCCCGAAGTCTGGTCCCCGAAATCTCTGAAGAATCCTCTAATGTTCACCTTGTGTGAAAAGTTGTGGTTCACCAGACGTTTCAGGTTGAAAA